AAAATGTCATAATGCAATACATAAAAGAAAGACCACAACACAAAGTTTTGAGACTAAAAGATGTAAATTTCACAAAAATAATCAGGATGAATGAGGATGCATATTCATTTGACATCAGTGTTCTTCCCAAAAACCAATTTCATTGAAGTGACGTAGTTTCAAACAGAGTATCTGATTTTATAAGTATTATTAATAACTAGTAGTAATTAAAAATAAATTATAATTCTAGTGCAAACAATGTTATAATTACCTCTTGAAGTTAGCTTTCTTACATAAATTTGATGTTCCTTTAAAAAGGTTTAAGTACAGGGTGAAACAGGAATTACCAGCCAATAATAGATAAACAATAAATATTACAGTTGGAACCTCATTGTATTTATAACTTGGTTATAAGTACAACCTTTCTCTGTCTATTGAAACACTGCATTAAAAACAAGTAAAGAAAAACTTTTCCAAAAAGGAAATAAATGTAGGGATGGCTAATGTCGATCCTTCAAAAACAATGCAAATGCCATCCCTACATTTATTTCCTTTTTGTAAAGTTTTTTTTTTTACTTGTCACACATTATCCGCATTATATTCTTTGTTATACTGAAAATGCACAATTAAAACAAGAGGGTTAGGGTTTACTTATAACAATACTATAATTAGAGGGAATAAAAAACAAACACGCTCTCAGTGTTGTGATCACTGTTAATTGGAATATTTTCTTTTGCTACTGATTTGTCAGTGATTCAATAATGTAGGTTCATAACACCCAAGATAGTAGCATCTTAACTCTTTAAACCCATAATTTTTTGTGCGTTCTGCCAGAATTATTTTCATGATGTCCTAATAATTATTGCCATATCTTATAAAAGTTCCGGTATGTTTATAAAATGTAGATAATAACGTGGTTTGGATTAGTTTTCAGCCAAAGAGATATATATGTTATTGGATGCTGTCACTGTTTGATGGTTAAATTGGGATTTTCAGCCAGATGCTTGTAGCGTTTGTTTGGGTTTAAGATAATAACGATGTTTGGATTAGTTTTCAGCCAAAGAGATATATATGTTATTGGATGCTGTCACTGTTTGATGGTTAAATTGGGATTTTCAGCCAGATGCTTGCAGCGTTTGTTTGGGTTTAAGGAATTGTGCTTTTAATATTTCCAACTTCAACAAACGTGGAAAGAATGACCTTAGGTAATTTGAACAAATTATGATAGTAAGAATACTTTTCTGCAAGTTTTGAGAAATATATGTGACGGAGGATATATTAACAAATACATAAATGGTAAGAAAACATTAGGTGCTACGTAGGATCACCTCTTTTCCTGAACTGAAGTAATATTGTACGTTTCATTCACTGATATTTGTGCGAACTCTGTAAGAAAAGTTTCTACATTGGGTATGCTTTTTTATTGAATTATAACTCAGATAAATCCTCAGCAGAGAAATAAAGAGGTGTGACGGAACATTTACACCTTAGCCTGAATAATGACACCTGCAAAGTGAGATGTTGCTGTAAAACTAAGAGTAAAAAATATGCATGTTGTGGGGGTGGATTAGTCCGGTTTGCTGAGTCAAAACTGTAATTGTAAAATAGCTTATTTTAGTTTTCACAAGTGCAGAAAGGAGATTTTTTTTTGCCCATTAAGGATTCACAAAAGAACGAAGAAACTTTCAAGCTTTACAGTTGTTAAACTGTACATTTTTTTTTCTTTTACAATTTATGTTGCTCTGATGCTTAGCTACTGAACTTGTATGTCGAGCTAGCGAAAACAAAATGTATATTGAAATATTTAAAATTTTACTAATGAAGATGATTATTTACTAGTCTTAAACTGTTTCATTTAAACTTAATAATTTTTATGCTTAATTTAACACTTGTTGTTAGAAATTTGTTTTTTGTACAATTTGTTTTTGTTACTGCTACTTTTCCAGTAAATTTCAGTGAAAAGTATTTTTTAAGATAGCTACATGTAGAAAAGCCATTTTGTTGGGATGTATCTTAATGTTAAACATAAACTAAATGTGATGTGAGTAATTGGAATAAAAAATAATTATATTTTTCAGGATAAGAAAAGAAAAACTATCATTAAGTGATATCCAAGTCCTTCCTAGGCCACAGTATCTTGAGTATAAATTCTGTATGCCTCTGGGACCTTTCATCAGAGAATTTTATTGGTATTCCAGAAAACGGAAGAAATCCTGCACTTTGTCCTTGTCATCAGAAAAATTGGGCATCAATCTTTTTTTTTTCTTCAAATAAATGATTTTTTTTTGTTAGTGGGGTAGAGGTGGGGAGATTAAACTCTTTT